ACACATAAATTATTCTATCCTTGGGTGATATGACCTATTCCCATTAATGATTAACTCATGAAACCCTAAGTTTTCCTATTTTCCCTCCACACATACCCCTAAAGGTTTTGACTTCAAGCTACACCTACCTACCCACTGGGAAAATCAAGTCTACACCTAATTACTGATTCATGTGACAACCAAGTACAAGTTGAACATCCATTATCTGAAATGCTTGGGACCAGACTGTTTTGAATTTTGGATTTTTTTCAGATTTTGAATATTTGCATTATACCAGTTGAGCATCTCAAACCCAAACTTCTGAAATCTGAAGTGCTCCAATGAGTACTTCCTTTGAGCATCTGTTGGCTCTCAAAAGTTTTGGATTTTGGAGCATTATGAATTTCAGATTTTCGGATGGGATGCTCAACCTGTCTACTTTAGGCTATAACGTGTTACTGACACTAAGTTGTACAGTATGGTAATGTTTTTCTCTTTACGTTTCTATCACTTAGAGCATATTCGGGATCTTCTTTCCTCTCCGAAAACTGTAAAAGAACTAGGAGCTACACACTGGGTCAGACCTATGATTTTAAGTTTAAATTTAAGTTCTAAGTTAGAAAATTCCTTTTCCCCTTCAATTTAAATCTAAAACAAACAAAAGCTGTAGGTCACTTCCTAGTATAATTTGAAGTTTTATTTGAGGATCTAAATGAGCCAACCTCATACATAATCTTCAAATGACGAACCCATAAAGGAGTGAGGGGAGCTGCCAGGGCTCTCTTAGAGGCACAATGAACATGAAGGCTCCTGTGTTAATCCAGAGGAACTAGGTGACCAGTTGGAAATTACAAGGAGGCAGCTTGAATGCCTATAGAGCACTTCCTAACTATGACAGCTGCCCAGCACTTCCTAGCACTTAGAGTGTCCCCCCAGGGGCTGGCTGACAACCTGGGAAGGGATGGGGAGAGGTGGATTGGACCCGAGGGGCCTCTCAAGGCAGCTCTGACTCTAAGATTTGCTTCCCCAAGTAGAAAGGAAAGATGCGCAGATTATGCGTATGTCTCACCTCGCACAGACGGCAGTTCTAAAGGAGGAAACAGAGGAGGAAGAGCACCACCTGGGACCCAGGGCATCCTGATCTCAGTGTGCTCAGCTATAAAGCGGGAGGTGAGCAGTGACAACCCAAAATAAGTGACTAAGGCAAAGATCTCGATCAGTCGAGGTTTATTAAGCCAAAATTTGAGAACGAGCCTGGGAGAAGCACTAACCACAGAAGCACGTGCGGCCTGTGCTCTCAGAAGAGGGAGTTGGGAACTCAGCATTTAAGGGGAGGAAGGCGTGCAGAAAGCAAAAGGTGGGGTGAGCAGGGAGGCAAATTCTTACATTCCTGTGAGGCTCTGATTAGTACTCAGTAAAGCCTACATTTTATATAAGATAAAGTGAATGTTTGAAGACCAAAAAGAGAATAAAGGAAGAATCAATTATGCAGATGTAGCTGGGTGGGTGGAGGAATGCTTGATCTCATCTTGTCTCTGTTCTACACCTGGGAAGATAAACTTGCAATCAATATTGACAGCATGGTCCTGAACAGACTTCAGTGCTAGGAGCTAGATGCAGCCTGAAGACCTAAAGTTACACTACACATGTCCTTGTTTTGGGGAGGTCGGCAAAGAATATCCTATGATCCGTGGAGGCAGTCCTTCCTACATGCCTGAGGGCTTTTACTTTTCCCTGGGGTTCTGGCTGATCGATAATGTTAGCAATAGCTATTCATTTAGAAGGGGGTGAGCATGACTTAGCCTGCAGGCTTGACCTTTCCTTTGGCATGAGGAGTTTGGGGGTCCTGAGATTTTTATTTTTGTTTACAGTGGGATGATAAGATATTTTCAAGTCATACGGACTTACAAACAGAATCCATTTCCCTGTGTCTGTTCCATTCACCAAAGTCTTGTAGAAAACGTAAAAAGATACAGAAGGGTACTTCTGTTCTGCCCAGTGGGGTTGATCTAATGGCCCTGAGCCTGAGCCCAGGGTAGAGGGAAGATGCCACATGGAGCAGCTGAGACCCAAATGGTCCTGCTACCTCATGTCCGGGTGACTGCACGGGGTTCCCTACTCCATACTATCATCACCTGCCCTTCTGGGCCCAGGAAAACAGCAGAGGTGGACTAGCCTAGGAAACACTAATAAAGCCAAAAGCAGTCACTTAAAAGTGTCCCAAATATAGCATGCCACAGTCAGCATGGACATTGTTCAGACTGTCCATATGCATGAGCATCTAAACATATGAATGACACATTTGCAAACACAGTCATGTGCTGCATAACGACACTTTGGTCAACAACAGAATGCATATACAACAGGGGTCCCAAGAGATTATAATGGAACTGAAAAATTCCTATTGCCTACTGATGCTGTAGCCATCGTAACATTATAGCACATTGCATTCATTACTCATGTGTTTGTGGTGTTGCTGATGTGAACAAACCTACTGCACTGCCAGTCCTTTAAAAATGAAAAGTAGTGTCCTAGACCTTCACATTCACTCACCACTCACTCACTGAGTCACTCAGAGCAACTTTCAGTCCTGCAAGCTCCATTCATGGTAAGTGCCTTGTATAGGCACACCATTTAAAAATCTTTAAGCCATATTTTTACTGCACCTTTTCTATGTTTCGGTGCATCTAGATACACAAACGCCATTATATAACAACTGCCTACAGTATTCAGTTCAGTAAAGTGCTGTACATGTGTGTAGCCTAGGAGCCACAGGCTACACCATACAACCTAAGTGTGTATTAGGCTACACCATCTATGTATGTATAAGTACACACTATGATGTTCACATAAGGATGAAACTGTCTAATCGTGCATTTCTCAGATGTACAGTCAAGTGATGCATGCCTACAGTTCCTTATCATATTCATGCTTCAGATTTTGAGACATCTACTGTGCCACTACATAATCCCTAATTGCAGCAGTATTCCTAAAATGAATCCTTTGTGAAAGCAGCGTAAGCAAAAAGACCAACTTTCCAAGAAGAAAAAAAGAATTAATTCTGGTATGTTATTTCCATGAGCTGAGCCAACAGAGCTTAGCTCTTAGGATATGATCTAAGGACTTTCAGCTCTTGAGAGAGCTTCCTATTTTACTTAATCCCTGTCATCAAAGCATCATCTCTTCACTAAGGAACAGAAACAAAATTTTTCTAGACATTAAATCTGATAACAGGTATAGGTATAATAATCAGTGGCACTCAGACATCAGTTCAAATACATGTGGGGTTTTTCAATGGTTTATTGGGAAAGCAAAAATTGTAATATGTAGTAGGAAGCAGATAATTATAAACCAATTCTGACATATGTTTTTAAAAATAGAAAATATTTCTGGATAGAGTAAATGTCACTTTTAATAGGAAGTCTTTAAACAAGAAGTTATTTTCTCGGGCACATACGCTCTTATTCCCCGGGGTGCTCAGGGGGCCCTACCTAGTATCCTTTGAAGCAGAGGTGAGAAGAAATTCCCTAAGCACACCTGGAATTATTCTGCCCACACCTGTCAGCTCTCCTCAGCAAAAGCTACTGTCACGAGGACATGGCTCAACTTGCCTAGAGGTTAATTTTTTTTAAGACATCAAAATCTTAAATCCTTTTATGGAAAGGTACACACTATAGGAAATATTTTCCTTTCATGCTTTCTCTAAAAGAGAAACATGTCATTGGGAATTTTGTCACTGAAAATGATGACCAGTAGTTGCTCCTGTATTACAAAATCTTCAGATGGTTACTATGCCCACATATATCTAAAAACCTCGATTACACATTTGCAAATAGTTCTTTACTATATTCATGTTTCAGATCTGGAGACATCTACTGTGTAATGATGTAATCCATAATTACACTGGTGTTCTTAAAACAAATCCTGTGTGAAAGTAGGTCTCAGCCACAGCACCTTCAGGAAACCAACAGAGCAAAGAAAACACACTTAGAACCTACTTACAAACACATCAGGATAAAGGAAAATGTAGTGTATTACTTTTAGGAATAATTAGGTAGACCAAAATTTATAACTGTAAAGGCAGAAATATTCCACACATCATCTCTGTAAACCCAAGAAAGACAGAGTGAACAAGCTTGGAGAAAGGAAACTGAAAAAAACGATAAATCAATCCCTCTCTTTCTCATATGATTCCAACTTGATTCAACTTCTATAAACCCTTCAAAACAGCTCTCTACATGGAAAGCTCTAAGACTCTCCTGGCCCTCTGGCAAGGTCTTGAAAACCAACATCTGAGATGTCATGGCTTCAGATCCAACAACAATGACTTTGAAGTTGAGGCTGAGATGGGGTCTGGCCATCAAAGGCTCAGCCGACTGGGCAGCCTCTAGATCCCCTTTAGGGACAGTGGCTGTGGTGACCTGCTCTGAAGGCTATTAATTCATACTTTCAAATACAGTCTACAACATCAGTCTCAGGACCCAGGCCTGGAGCAGCAGCATCTCAGCTAATGGGGACCTTCCCGGGCAAAGATTTGAAGACGCTGGCAGTGCTTTCCTATTTTTAACACCATTTAGTTAACTTTTAGAAAGCCAGTCGAATGCTCTACCAATGCGAAGGTAATCATAGGTGACTAAATGATACTTTCAGCTAATATTTAATATCTAATATATTTTATGATAGCACCATCTATAGCAACACCTTTCTAGGATCTTCTTTGACTTCGTACTTAGAATCCATGAAGCAGATCCATGAAGCTCCTGGAATCAGTCCCTGGATAAGTTATTTTCTAGATTGTAAGAGGAGCTTTAAAATCTTTTTTCTAGCGTATTAACTCCCCATAATAAGGTATAGTGCCAGCCAAATAGGCTATTTTTCCTAAGTAGATGATTTAAAAATAACAATGGTAGACCAACAGAGTCGATCCAAATTCGTAATTAATCATGCAAAGAAAATGACACACGTCACAGGGGCCTGCCGATTACCTGCCCCGCAGGTGCCCGCCCGCCCCGCCCACTTACGCGACGCCAGCCGGCCCTGCTCCGGAGGGGCGCTGTCCGCGGACTGGGTGCTGGACACGGAGGAGACGCTGGAGCTCCGGACGAAGCCAAACGCCGCCAGCTTGGCTGCCGGGAGACGGGAGTACCCAGGAGGACGAAGCCCAGATTTCGGGAGACTGGACTTTACAGCATTTGAACTGGAGACTTTCTTTAAATCTGCCAGCATGAACCCAAACCAAAAAAGAGAGAGACAGAGAGAAAATTATTCTCAGATCACGACAAGATAGAGAATACCAAGGATGGATAAACAACCCTTTTTAGGACCCCAAAGAAAGGTATACAATGCTTAGGACAGTGAAGCAGAGAACAACTTATTGTTAGAAGTTACCCTAGATTTGTGACATTGAGATATATCTTACATTTTGACATACAAAGAACCCTGTGGCGTATATTCACTAGTAATCTTAACCAGTATTTAGCAGGCCTTATAAAAAGCTGTACAAAAATCATCTCACTGACCTTCTGTTGGTTGCAAGGAGGAGGAGGGAGGAGTATAAACTGTGGAGCTAGCCAGGTTGAAATCCGAGCCCTCCCGGCTACTAGCTGTGCAGCCCAAGCCCTGCCCGAGCACCCAGAGCCACAACCTCCTTTCCCGTACAGAGTCCAGGTGAGCAAGTGGCCTTCCAATGTAGTGTATTACTGCTTCTGCCACAGAGCTTGACGTTAGATTTCTTTTCTCCTTTTTCCATTATCTATTTTTATGTTATGTCCAAACTTCAAAATTACTTCCCAAATATGTGCAAAGTCATCGTGCTTTGAAATAATAAAGTACCAAGTTACAAATCCAGTATCTCAGCATCACTGCGTTGGTCTGCAGCAGGCTCCGTCAATAGAAGTGCAACAATTATGACACTGTGTGCCCAGGTGAAGGCAGAATCTGCACAGCTGTGGTTTCCTGACTCCCGGGTCAGGACTAGGATGGGAGGAATCAGGTGAGTACAGAAGCAAAAGGGAACAGGGAGGTGGGCTGCAAATATTCCCAACTCAGGCCTGTCCTAGTGTTTGGGGAAAAATAAACGTTGAACCATGAAAAAGAAGAAACAATGCACTAACGAGTAGTAATGGTCCGTTTGTATCAGCAGTCAATGTCATGTTTAATGCCTTCACACTGGGGTTCTCTTATCATTTTGTATATTTTAGATGATATCCTCAGAACAGTGAAAATATCTCTATGTATGAGATATCATATTTACAATAAGTTTACACCAAATTGATTTCAGATGATGTCTGTAGAAGAGTAAAAGAATGGCTAAAAATCAGATGTAATTTCAATAATAGGTATACAGTAAGAGAGCTGAAAATGGCATTGAAATGGGCTATCTTCTTTCTAACATAATTAATAACTGACTTTAGATTGTACAAAATCAAGAGAAAAGAATACAAACAAAATACTTTTTCTAGAAAATAAACCCATATTTGTGAAAGAAGGAAAAGTCGGAATTCTTTATAGAGCACCTTGGCATGTGGTGAGCATCCATTTAATTTAATATTGATTAAGGAATGAAAATGAAGTGTATTAAATCACTACATGAGCTAATGAAGACATTGGATGTGTTCAAACAGAAATTTATCTTATTCTACCCTTACTTATATTCAATTATTATTATTCTACCCTTACTTATATTCAATCAAGATATTAATCAATATCTTCAGTAGAAAGGTAGCAGTGGAACATGTAGATATATAAAAAGAAGAGGAGGATGGATAGCACAGAATTCCAAGTACACAGGAAGTAGGTCTCTAAACTATTTTCTAGCTTTCTCTTTCCCCTAGTCCAGACCCTCCTTTAAATAAAGACACATAGTGTGTGTGGGGGGGTGTGTGTGTGCATGTGTGTATGTTCGGGCTACTTGCAGGAGTATACTTTGCCCCAACTCGCTGTGTAGGTTTTTGATTACAGAGGAATTATACTCAAGGAGCTGTGCTCAATGATATCTAAGTGGCTTTATTCACCTCTGGACCAGATTCAGATGACAACATTCTGGATCCTGAGCTGGTGCTATAAAGAATGAGACTTTTGGGAGCTGTCCAATGCTAGGACAAGTGAATACCCACATGCAAAGAAGTGTAGTTGGACCCCTATCTCATACCATATACAAAACTTAACTCAAAATAGATAATGAACCTAAATTTAAGAGATAAAATTATAAAATGCTTAGAAGAAAACATAGTTATAAATCTTCATAAACTTGAATTAGGTAAAGTCTTCTTAGATATGACAGCAAAAGCATAAAAAAGCATAAACAACAAAAAATAGATAAATTGAGCATTATCAAAATTTAAAACTTTTTTATTTCAAAGGACACAATCAAGAAAGTAAAAAGACAACCCCACAGAATGGGGAAAATATTTGCAAATCATATATGTGATAAAGGACTTTTACTAAAAATGTATAAAGAACTCTTATAAATCAAGAATAAAAAGACAAACCAATTTAAAAATGTACAAAGGATCTGAATAGACAGCATGAAAGGAAGTTCAACATCATTAGTTTTAGGAAAGTGCTAATCAAAACCACAATGAGGTACCCACTATGATAATTATTATGATCAGAAATTATCTCAGAAAGCAGAGTAAAAAGTGTTGGAGAGGTAGTAGACAAATTGGACCCCTCACACACTGATGATGGAAATATGCAATGGCATGGCCACTTTAGAAAACAGATTAAATACACAGTTATCATATAACCCAGCAATCCCACTCCAAGATATATACCCAAAAGAAAGAGAACAAATACCTACACAAAAACTTGTATACAGTGGCATCATTGAGAAGATATACCATAAGAAGATACATCATAAAGAAGAAACACCTCAAAATGTCCATCAACCGATGAACCTATAAATAAACTGTGGTATATCCATATCATGGACTATTATTCAGCAATAAAAAAGAATTGTTATGGACTGAACTGTAAGACTCCAAAATCCATACATTGCAGCCCTAACCCTCAATATGACTGTATTTGGAGATAGAGCCTTTAAAGAGGTAATTAAAGTTAAATGAAGTCATAAAGGTAGGCCCTAATTCTACATGACTGATGTCCTTACAAGCAGGGAAACGGACATCAGAGATCTCTCTATCTCTCTGCCCACGCATAACGAAAAGGCCACGTGAGGGCACAGTGAGAGGATGATCATCTGTAAACCAAGAGGAAAGGCTTCATCAGAAACCAACCATGCTGGCACCTGGGTCTTGGACTTCTAGCCTCCAGAAGTATAAGAAAATAAGTTTCTAAGCCATTAGTCTATGGTATTCTATTATGGCAGCCTGGGTAAACTAATACAGGAATGAACTACTGATACATGCTATAAATTGGATGAACTTTGAAAACACTAAGGCAAGTGAAAGAAGCCAGACACAAAAGGTAACATATTGTATGACTTCATCATATGAAATGTCTAGAATAGGCAAATCTATAGAGACAGAAAGTAGATCAGTGGTTGCCAGTGGCTGAGGTCTGAGGGAAACGTGGAGTGACAACAAATTGATAAGTTTCTTTTTAGAGTGATGAATTATTCTAAAATTACTGTGGCGATGGCTGCACAACTCTATGAACAGACTTAAAATTATGGCACATATGCTTTAAATGGGTGAAATATATGGCATGTGAATTATATCTCAATAAAATTGTAATCTAAGAGAGACAGAGACTAAGAGAGCATTAGAGCTAGCTAGCTAGTTAACTAGCTCCAGGAAAGGAAAATAAAGTCATGATAGAAGATACAGAAAATTAGGCAGAAGATGAATGACTAGATCAGCCCTTCTCAACCCAGAAGACAGATGACTAAAACAGAGGCATTTGCAGTGTCAGTATCACAGCCACTTCATAATAGCTCAAGGGGTCAGAAAATGAAAATTACCTCAAGAAGAGTAAAAATGAAGAAGACATAGGAGGACGAGGAGGAGAACAGAATTTCCTTCCCGCTCCCATATCCACTCAGTTCAGCTGAGTTCAAGAAACACTCATAGACTCCATGTGCCATTATAGCTCTTACAAAATAAAAACAAATGAGGCAAAGTCTCTGCTAACAGCACCATCAGACAATCAAATGTGCTAAGTGGCATGGCAGAGGCGTGAACCCAGAGCTGTGGGAGCACAGGGAGGGATACCCTCTCCCTGCCTGGGCTGAGCGAGGAATGGGCTCTTGAAGGCGGCGAACAAGAGTGAGTCATAAAGGATCAACAGAAGCTGGTAAGTTGGGACTAGAGAGGGCATTTCAGGGGAGGAAACTGCAGAGGTCTGCTGGAAGAATTTTGTCTTTCTCCTGACAGCAATGTGGAGCCAATAAGGAATTTTTAAGGAAGGAGAATAGGGGTTGACTTGCTACATGGAGGATGGGTTGGAGGGGGGCAAGGCTGAAGGCAGGGAAATCAGTTGAAGGCAGCAGGTAAAGAGAAAAGTCCTGATGCTCTGGGAGCAGGGATGGGGTGGAGTGGATGGATTTAAGTTATGCAAAGAGCAGGTCTTGTGGTAATTCTCTTTGTTATAGGAACAAGAAAAGGTCTACATACCTGAAAGATTTCCAAGGGAGCCACTGTAGTTAAACCATGCCCCACTGAGATCATGCACACCTGAAAATACAACAATTCGTAGGGACTTTAGGAAACTCCGGCCAGAAAAGCCCTGTGGAAGGGTCTCCTACGGAGTGGTCGGACAGCCTGTGGACTCCCTCCCTGTGATCGGCAAAGCGAACTGCAGAAGAGCAGGATGATCACAGGACGCCTGACCAGGCAAGGTTGTGAACAGAGGGAGGAGGGCTCAGACTTGATGCTTTTGATTACAAAAACTCTGTCTAGCAAGAAGTAAAGAGTACAAGTGCATGAGCGCGCACACACACACACACACAGTTTTTGCTAGCTTCCTTATACGTGTGTACATAATCTGGGAATGATGAACAAAAGAAAAACTTACCAGATGGTGGTGGCTCACTGGCATTATTTAATATCCAGGCCAGAAAGAGAAACTAGCGAAAGTTGTTTGTTTTGTTAATGTTTTCTGAGTTGAAAATATTGTTCTAAGGTAAAAACAGACCACTATGCTAAGTGAGCAATCATCTACAAAACCATGTAAACCTACTCATGCAGTGCGTTTATAATTGAGGTCCAAATCTTGAGTTGACTGTTTTATAACAACCTAAAAAAATCAAAGTTAA